GATCTGAATTCATGTTTCGAATATTTTTGTCTTTATATCGTAAACGTGGACAAATTCCTCTGTTAATTTTGTTTAAATTTGTAGTTTTATTTATATTTTGAGTAAATCAGATGCAAGGTGTTGTGACAAATGCTGAGAATTCCATTCTGTATTATAAGTAGTGCTGTTTTTGGAATAAAGTAAATCATTATTATTATTCATTCTCCCTGTACTCTTCGAAGTGAAATTTTGTCATCACTCTAAAGCCAACTACTTACTATTATTAAAGTAGTATGTAAATACATTTGTCTATTTTCCATAGCTAGCTCGAAAGGATGGATTGTTTTAATACTATTAACAGAAATTCAGAACAGAACAGAACAGATCAGTTCTTCAACTAGTAGATGAGCATTAGTCACATTCATGATATACAACATTTATCAGTAGAACAAGTGTATTCTATAGTAATGAATTTGTCTGAAAAGAATAACAATGAAATACTCTCAGGTTAGACTGCGGATTGACATCAGTTGGAGAATCAGTGAGGGGGTTTGAGTAGCTGGCTAGCTGTTTCATCCTAGTGCGGAAATTAGCGGCAGCAGGCATCTACAATCAGGGTTCGAATCCACGACTTTCGGGTTACACAGTATGCTAGCTCGTATAGCATTTAGCCACTGGGACCTGATTAAATGGCCAGTTAGTGCATGAATTCTAAGTTCTACCAATTCTTGATGCATTTACCGCGACTGGCACCAACCACTGGTATCGGCAGGACTGTATCCTTACTCCCAACTGGATCCTTCCTAATGGAAAATTTTATATAAACCTCACAGGAAATTTCACTGAGATAAACTTTTCACATATATAACTAATTTTCATTAAGTGCTCAGTTATTGTGCAACTATCTATCCAATCAAATGTTGGTCGTATTTAACATAAAATAATGAGTAAATAGATTATTTAGAAAAACAAAAAAAATATTTTTAGATCACTTTGCAATTTGCAAGTTATTAATCAATTCAAGAAGACGAAATTTCACTATAATTTTATTTAGAAGAACCAAAGTTATTCAGATCACAAAAAGTGATCTGCTTGACACCCATCGATGGCAAGCATAAATGCGTGAGAATACATACCAACTAGTTGATTCAGTTAATTCATTGTATGTATGCCACTGACATCAACCTGTAGTGTTCGCTGGTTGGATCGAAACACACCGGAGGGTTGTTTTGCTTCTTGAGGGCTGAGCTGATTACTGAGTGAGTGCTTACTTATCTGAAACAATTAATAGTAGTATGGTGAGAGCTGTCTGCTAGCTAGCCAAAATTGGTAGACAGTAATTTACGTCAACATCGTTTATGTCCCAACTTTGAAAACGCACTCGTGAACACTACCCAGCCTCGTTAGTAATAGGAGACCAAAAGCGTGTATACAGTTCAGTGTGATAGAACATCTGGTCAATTCAGGACTTTCAGCGCACATTGGAAAAATCCTTCAAAGTAATGTATACCAGATTTAATCAAACCTATCAAAGGGAGTGAAATCAAGACATATGAGTATAGCCGAGGCGCTAGCCAGCCATTCAAAACCTCAAACTCACGCTTTGTATCCAAAATCGAAAACAACCAATCAGGAGACTGTGTTTGTCTGCTTAACTTCCCAGAAACAACCAATTAGAAGACTGCCTTTTTCTGCTTGCATAAGCCTTATTAATGTACATAAAATATATACATATAAATACGCGTTGATTTTCGTAATAAAACGATCTGTTGCCTGGCCCTTGTCTTCTGTTGTTACCCTTGAATTTGACACATCATATTCAGTATCACACATGCCAGCGCTTTGTAGGGTGCATTTAACCAAAATTTAGTGAACAAAACATTCACAAAATAGAGAAGGGCGTATATTCTGAGATATTCTCAAGCCAAAAACCACCATTGAGCATGATTCCCTGGCCGACGAGACAATTTCTTATTATACCGAATCTACCCACCTCCTAAGTTCTTGTCCTATTTAATCAATGAGACCGGTATCATTTGTTATCTTTCACACTCCTAAATAACCTGTTTTCTTTTTATAAGTTTCCAGACCGAGGGGTGTTACGAATAACTTCATGGAATAATTTGAGCGCCGACTCAGATTGATTCATTATAAATTATTATTTAAATTAATCCCAGTGTGTTGAAGAAAAGAAGAAAATCAAAACAAGATCTGTTCTCTGAACACGTTTCGCTGTGTAAGCTGCCACAGTAGTCAAAACATTTTTACATAAATTGAAGTCAGTTTATTTGAAGGTCATTTGTTCATGGACATTTTTACCAATACATATATGCAAGCAGTCCTCACATTATATTTGTAATGACTAATGTCAAATTGTTGTTGTGTTTACTCTTCTATAGTTGATTTGTAAAGATTAGATTTGTATGCGTGTGTGTGTGTGTATGTATGTTATTTGTCCTATGGAAAATACGTGAATTCCTATGTAATAAACATGATACTACATGTTCTAAAAAGATCATGG